TATATATATATATATATATATATATATATATATATATATATATATATCTCCCCTCAATAGTGTTACTTCTAGGACCCTGAGAGACTTAAATGTAACCACGTATAGCCTATCTCTGGGTATCCATATTTATCAGAGTAAGGACAGGGTGGGTTGAGTCACTTAAGGAGAGAGTAGGTATTAGCATGTCCCATGTAAGGAGTGATCTATTGTGTTAAATTAGTGGGTAATTATACTATGCCACATTACTCCAGTCTTGCCACTAGTGATACACTTCCTTAAACCTTCCTTAGAGTATCTATTCAACTTCTAAGTCATTGGACTAATATGATAAAAAGTACCTCACATCTCCCCCAGTTCAGATCCATCTAAATAACTCACATGACATTTTTATAGAAATTCTGATGTGTCCTTGGGTGGAGGAGACTAGGGGTCAAGATCTGTTTTGATGGCTGAAGAGCAGGGATCTCTGAGGTCATCTTGGACCTGCCCAGAATCAAAGCTGAATCCTTGGGGTTGGCATAAGAGTAGCCTTATGGATCTTCTAGGATGAACACTTAACCTGGGGTCCATGAAGTTTGAAAAATATTTTGAAAACTATTTCAATATAATTGTTTTTCTTTGTGATTCCATGTATTTTATTTTATGCATTTAAGAACATATCTTGAGATGGGGTCCATAGGCTTCAGACTACCAAAGGAGTTTATGATACAAAAAATAGTTAAGAACCTTTGCCCTATCATGAAGGAATACTGTAGGGATGACTCCTCTATGAAGCTGCCCTTGAGTAAAAGCTGTCTCAGGCATCTAGGAGATTATGGAGAATTGGATACACTACCAGATATGAGAAAATAGCTCCCAAACCTGAAGGAACCCACTGAAGAAAAAAACAAACTCAAAAGTCAACATGAAATACTGCACAATATTATCTCTTTTGAAGGCTTCTCTAAACACAGATTTCCTCATGGCTCCAACAGAAAAGAAAAGAAAAAAATATATGGATATATACATGTGTGCATGTGTATGTATTTATGTATGTATGTATAAATAAAAGTCAACCAGTGGGTCTGCTCTCATCTGTACTATGTTCCTCTGATAGCCAGGGAAGTACTGCTTCAGTTCTATGTTTCTACACATAACATAATTGGGAAATGGCTTAGAATCCAAGGCTGTTGGCAAAGTCATATGTATGAGTAACCAGTTCCTGATTCCACTCACAAATTTCTAGAACACTGACTCAAATAATCTTGTAGAAGTCTTTCCCCCAATAACTCCTTTTTGGACACATACATCCATGCAGTTTAGCAGTTTTTTAAACTCATGCAACACATCCAGGTTTAAGAAGGTCATATATTCCTGGGAAGATTCCAGGTTGTGGATGAACTATTACTAAGACACATGCACAGTTCAGTGACAGGTACAATTTAGATGGAACACACAGAAAGTAAAGGAGCTGAGAATCTACAGGAGTCAGAGGAAGGCTAGCTCATCTCATTTTAGCACTGGGAAGTCATCTTCATCCCTACCATTTCATTGGCTTGCTACAGCAACAGTTATACTAGCCTGAGAAAGGGCATCAGACTCAATCAAAAATTACTCTGAGGGACACTAGTCATTTGCTTTTGTGGTCAGCTCAGTTTGTAATGTGAAATCCTTGCAATCTCCTTCTATTTCCAATCTGCAGTATAGGGTAAGCATTAAGTCACACCCCTTGGGTTCACATTTAAGCATGCAAAGCACACTACTCTGGGTAAAAAACAGCACCTTGGACAAGAAGTTCTCATGACTTAAAATGAGAATGGCCCTGAGAGGTTTTGTGAACCACACAGACATAAAGAATCGGTGGTGGCTAAAGATGTTGGACATACTGGATGGGAAGCACAGTTAGTACAGACTGAGGATCTGGGCTGGGGCCCAGCCCGCTGGCTCCTCTTGCTCACAGACATTCCACACTGCCTCAGGCCACTTACTGTTTGCTTACCTGCTTATGGTTGCTCGCCCACCATTCCCCATACTCTCTTTGGGAGTGAAACACTCTATTTCCGACTTGTTCTGGGCCAGTCTCCTGCCTTTGTACCTAATGAATCATGACAACGACAGGAGCAAAGAGAAAGAGGTGATTGTGTGCTGGGCAGCTGTGTGGTGGAAGAGCCAATGTGAAGAGGGATGCTTGAAAGAGGGCCCAGAATATAGGACTTTCCAAAGGCACCAGTCACCCCATATTAAAATCCACAGTCCTACAACACAGCAGGAAATCTCAGCCCAGCTCTCTCTTCTCACTCTAACAATTACTGTCAGATACCTTTTTATATTATGCAAATATTCATTAAGTACCTAAAGGCATTGTATCCTGTTTTGTTTTGTTTTTTTCTTTGATAGACAGCAGTTTATATCATTGCTGTTTGATTAAAACCTCATTAAATAAATTTAGCTTCAATGTCTCTTACTAATCACAAGCAAAATCATCATTAACCTACATTTCCGGAGCTTATGTAGGGTATTATGTTGGGCACTTGGGACACAATGAGGTCTGAGATGGATTCCTGGCCAAACCATCATGCAACTGAAGCTTAGCTCGCAGTGTAGAAATGCCTAAACTGTTAAGGCTGGATTTTGTAGGTTTTTTTATTTGAAAATATTCTATAATGCTCCTCTGAAGATATTAAAAACTTCATTTCAAAGACAAATTTCACAATGTAAAATTACTACAAGACAAATTTATTTTTTTTACATCCTTAAATTCATATAGCACTTTAAAGTTTTCATAATGTGGTCACAAGTTACACCAAAGACCTTTTGCTGGTGTGAAGACTCTGTCCTATTGACTTACAAGTGTGGGAGCTCCTACCGATGCTGAGAGAAACCCATTTAAAACCAAAAAGGGATTTGAACCCTGGTTTTCACGACTCTAATACAATATGCACTATACCAGAGGCGTCAAACATGTGACTCATGGGCCTCATGTAGACTACAACTCTCCCAAGGGTGGCTGGAACCAGATTAAATGCAACTGGGAAATTTTCAACAAAATAAATTAATCCCTCCCCCCAAAAACAATATTGATAACATTATATTGTAAAACCAAGTCAACATGCAGCCCTGAGGAATCCTTATGTTTGATTTAGTGGCCTCATTTCTTTTTGTTTTCAACATGACTGCAGTCTACCACACTGACTCAGTTACTTATATTACCATATTTTTGGATTTTCACAACAACCCCATGAAGAAGGTGTGATGGGCTCTTATTTCCATGTCACAGAAATGAAGTGACTTAAGATCATGTAGAACTGTGATCTGGCTGAGATAATGAATGAGCAGATCATTTTCCTTCCCTCAGTGTTGGAAGTGATTGTCTGGTCCAATTCCTTACCTCAAGTGCTTATCTGGTCCAGTTTTCTACCTTCAGGGAGATAAAAGTATTATTTTCCTTACTTTATTCACGAGGAGGACAAGGTCTCAAGAACCTGAATAACATACACAGTGTCGACTAGAAGTAGGCAGCAGAGCCAGTACTGGAATCCAGGTTTTCTGAATCCTAATCCAACACTTCAAGACACTAGGACAAGCTTTCAAGATGCCAATTCTGACAAAACATGGAGTTAATATGAGTCTCAAATGCAATGTGAGTTTCTAATGAAGTAAGAAGTTCTTTTGATTATAGGACCTTTCCACTATCTCTTGTATGCAAAACAAGGTCAGGGATCCATTAAAGTTTGATTGAAAAACTCATTTGTGCTTTCAGATGAGATATGGTTTGGTTGACTGTGAATCAGTTAAGAGCTACCTAATCATATTGGCTGTATTTTCAGACCCTCTAGTTTCTATTCATCCACTCTCACTGCCCTGCTCAAGGTAACAAATGATGCTTTAATAGCTGCAGGTTGCTGCCCATGCTTATGAATTTTGGCTTTGATTTAGCTTGTAGGAAAGGTTAGGCTATCAGTTGATTATTTATAAATTTGAAGACAGTGAAAGAGCAGGGAAATTTCTCTCCAAAGGGGGCAGGTTTACTTTGTTATTATTCTTCAAAGCACCTTTTCCAAAGACAATAAGTTGTTATACAAATAATCGTGTCATTAATCATTGAAATATCCATGGAAATATGTAAGCAGCTGTACAGATATGGTCGAAGCCCTGGACTTGGAATCAGAAGACCTAGACTTGAGTCCAGGGCCTGTTACTATATAGCAGCAAGATCTTGGGCAAACCACTAAAACTCTTAGTTTCTGCATTTATCAAATGGGGACAATGACCTAGCAATCTTACAAGGTCTTTTGAGTATCAAATGAGATCATAGGAACAAAAATTTAGGGATAAGAGAGAGCAAAAAGTTTATCTAGTCCACTCCCGTCATTTCACAGATGAAAAAAGTGAGGCCCAGACAGCCTAAAGTGATTTGCCCAAGATCATATGGGTAATAAGCGGCAAATTTCAGATTCACACCTATATTCACTGATTCTAATTCCAATGTTTCCCACATAAAATGCTTTGTAAAATTCTCTAAAAATGTGAAATGTAAGTTTCTTGAGGAGATGAATAGACTTTCTGGTTTTGTTTTTATATCCTCTATATCTATCAGAGTGCCTTGGGCCATAATAGGCCCTTAATAAATATTTGCTGAGTTGAATTCAGTTAGATTTTATGTCCATTTTCCAGATAGTATATCCGTAATAACTTAGAAGGGGATAAAGTAACATATAGAACATATTTTGCATGATTTCAGTGGATGACCTGGCTGTGGGACTCAGATATTGTTTGGGGAAGAATTCTATAATATGATTTCAATATCAAGGAAACCTCTTAGGATTCCTCCCTTATTTACTTGCTAATGTCTCCATTATCTTTTGGTTGGGACAACCAGGGACTAAGCCTTTTCTTTCACAATGAGGGCTAAGATTTAAAATGAAAATCCACAAGTAGAAGGAACATATTGACTTCAACTCACAGTATCAGATATAAGAACAGATTCCTTTGAGGGAATAGATTTTGTGCAGGTGTGAAAAATGGGAAAGGAGGACAGGACAAAGCAGGACAGCACAAAGGGCCTGGGTATTGAAAGAAGGGAAGGCCATTTTGGAGTGAGGGCAGGGTCTTAGAAAGTACAAGCAGAGAGAACCCAAGATTTTTGTCCAATTCACAATTTTGTCTCAGGGTTGCCCTGCTCAAAACACTCACTGAAGATACTTGTTCCAATAATACCTAAAGTATTGGGAAAAAACTTTTCTCCACTGTTTTCTATCCTATCACCCTCTTTCTCTTTAATTATGCAAACATATTAAGGAAGAAGTTGCTCATCCTTCTGAATTCAGCTAGGTGGTACGTGGTTAGAGCACTGGACCTGAATTCAGGAAGACTTGAGTTCAAATCTGATTTCAGAAACGTACTAGCTGTATGACCCTGGGAAAGTCACTTAATTTCTACTTCAGTTGCCTTCTCTGTAAAATGGGCATATTAATAAGCCCCTGTTTCCCAGGGTGTGGTGAGAATTAGATGATATAATATTTGTAAAGCACTTTGCAAACCTTAAAGTGCTATATAAATGCTAGTTGTTGTGCTTATTATTATTACTATTATTATTGTTACTATTTTATCATCACTGTTCACTAGATACCTTTATGGTGAGGCATGCTCATGTATTGTAATTGCTGTTGTTATTATGTCATAGAAATATATGTATTACATAACATGTTATTATTATTACTACTACTAATGTAAGGATGCTGATGCTGATATTAGTAATAATGATGAGAGAGCAAGGTTTGGTAGACAGAATACTAGATACAAATTTAGTGGAATTTTGCATTTTGACACTGATGTATTTGTCCATGAGCAAATTACTTCGTCTCTCCAAGTCTCAATTTCCTTATTTGCAATAAAGGAGGTAATATAGCTTATACTACCTGCCTCACAGATTTCTTGTAAGAAAAACACTTTGAAAACCTTAAAATATTGTACAAATTACATTATTTACTAAGAGTGACAAATTGGAGTCAGCAGACCTAGGTTACTTGGGTAACCGGGGTAAGTATTTGTTCAAGTCACTTCATTTCTTTGGTTCCTAGTGCCTTCCGTTGGAAGATGAGAGGATTGGATTAGATGATTTCTAACCTCTCTTCAGATATTAAATCTATGTTCCTGAAATCTATGAGAATAATGATATTAATGCAGGTGGAGATCTGTATTGGTAGAAGAGTTTCCTCATTGGGAATTCGCTATATCAATGAAATAATCTTTACAGTCCAAAACAACAACAACCACAAAATCTCATATTTATATAGTGATTTGGGTTCTCCAAAATGTCTTCTTAGTGATCCTGCAAATTAAGTAACATTTTAAAATGCTGAGAGTTATTTTTCTACTTGTACGAAAACCACAGTAAAACTGTTCTGACTTGTTCAATATATTGGAACACATTCAGTAGAGTGTAAGCTCCTTGAGAGCAGGGATTGTTTTTAATTGCTGTCTTCTTATCCCTAGTTGTTATCATAGTGCCTTGTAGCTAAGTAGGTAAATAATAAGTGAATTTTGAATTAGAAAAAAAGATGGAGTACTTAAAGAGTCAGCACAAAGAAAAAAATTAGAAATTGTTTGGAACACTGCACTGCTACGATGATTGAATGTAGGATTTTAAGTGATTAATTGTAAAGGCGGCATGATAACAAAGGAGGGGTAATGATGATTTAAGTTTGTGTTTGGTAATGAAACTTTATTTGGACAGCATTATCCTAAAGGAGTCAGGCTAAAGATGTAAATAATTGTGTCTCTTCCAGCAAACTCCACACCCCCATCATCACTCCTATACACACACACACACACACACACACACACACTCACATTTTTGCCAGTAATGAAAGAGAGAATGCAGTAGCAGAGAGAATCTGAAGGAAAATGGTTCCCTTCTGGCAAAGAAGATGCAGGGACTTCATGTCCCTGGATCAGCAGACCAAAGTCAAAGATAAGGTTCTTTAGTAAGAGCAATTAGAGCTAACAGCAGGATATCAATGTCAATAGCAGTAGAAAGCACTCTTAGAGTTTTTAATGTATAAACTACGGTCTAGAAGGAGGTGCATTAGCTTG